TGTTACTTTGTAGCGTCATTTACAACAGCTTCGAACGCGGCTCAGCCAATCAGAGTCAAGCACCGGAACTCTCCGCTTTATAATTCAGCTTTGATCACAGGAATCAACTACATTTCACAACATATCAGAACAGAAAACACAACATCATGTTGTCTTCAACAGCTGCAGCTGATCAGGATGTTGAGGGACACTGGTACTTCCTCACCGCTGTGTTTGACCGGGCTGTCTGGACTGGCTCCTGCTTTAGCTGGTTCAGGTTTCGTGTTGCGGGTTCGAGCAGCATTACGCTGAGATTCTCTCTCGCTCTCTGTCACCATGACGACGCTGTTTTCAGGAAGCCTGTTGGATTATCAATATGAAAAATACATTACAGTAGCAGTAATATTAACCCTCTGGTGCTGTTCAGTCATTTTTTACCAAAAAAAAAAAAAATTAGGTTTAGTTTTTTTTACTTTATTAGAATGGTTTGAAACTTGGAAAAGGTTTTGGCACTTGTTTTGTGGGGGAAGAAAATTATGAACATAATACAAAAAGGTGAAATGGTCCTGAAAAAAAAAAATACAGTATATACAAACGAATGGGAAGCAGATTCATCTAGTGGAAGCGTTTGGTACTGCACCCAAACAAAATTTACTGAAAGCTCATTTTTTGAGATATCAACCTCAGATTTGGAACACAACTTGTTTAGATTTTTTAAGAGTTTTAGAGTAAAACACGTTTTGGAAAATATATATTTCATATAAAATTTTTAAATAGTATTTTGTGCATTTTTCATCATAATTAAATTAAACTTCTCTAAGTTTTTGGCTCACTTTTTTAAAAACCTTTTTTCACTTCAGCAATAATTGGCCAAGTGTCTTCTTTAAAAAGAGACCTGTGCTCCAAAGCATTCTAGATTTACAACAGATTAAGCTGGAAATGTCATTTTCAGGTCTCAACTTAATGGTTCTTTAATTGTACTTATGATAACAATTGTACAAAATAAATGTATCAAATTTAAAAAAAAAAAATTTTTTTAATTAAATTAATTTAATAAAAATTTTTTTTAATTGTAATTACAAGTCCTTCAAAGTTTGTCTTGATAAAAATGGAAATCCAAAAATATATGTTTAACAGTAAAGTGCTAAAATATTGACATTTTAGTGGTTCTTACATGTAACATGTTGCCTCAGAGCTCTTCTTTTTTTTTTTATTATGTATTTTTTTCAATAATCATACATTTAACATTCTTATTCATATGCATCAATCTTGAAATCTGACTTTTACATTTTGAATAGTATACCACTGCCAATAACTGATTTAAAATGCTAAAAAGTCGAATTAATCACAAGTTGTTAAAATAGTCGATTTATAATATTTACACGTGTGAATTAAAGCGATCACAGTGTGCCGATGTTCTTTAGCTTTAAAAACCTGCTTTTGAACTGAATCAGGAATCAGGTCAATTCGCTGTCAATTCACGCAACATAACTAGGAACGCCACACAACGATCAAGTGAAGGTTTACAGCAGAACTGTGCAGCTTCTTACCCAGGAATGAGCTCAGCCGTCTTCCTGCGACTCCTGCCCGAGTTTCTCTTGGCTTTGGAGGCTGACACTCCGAGTTCTGCATCTTTCTCCGGTCTCTTCTTCAGACTGCTGCCTCTATCTGTCTTCTGAAGGACCGGCACAAACAGTTCATTAGAGATGTTAAAGAGGAAGAACCTCAACACTGAGAAGCTTTTGCTAAAACAAGTGTAAAACAAAAGGTCATCCTCTTATGCTCCTACGGCTCTTACCTCTTCATCTACATTATCCCTTGTTTCTGCATGCTTTTTTCTTTTACACTCCTGGTTTTGCACTGCTTCATCCGCAGGCTGAGGGACTCTGCTTGTTATGATGCTTTCTGGAAGGGTTTCCATAGGAAACATATCAGCTGGCACTGCTTCGTCCCCTCTGGATTCTCTAAAGTGCTGTTTCTTCTCGGCAGGGAGAAGGCTTTCGTCTAATATGTTATTGTTGTTATTACAAACTTCTGGGTCTAACTCAAAGCTGCGCTCTCGATCTCTGTCGGTGGGAGGACTGCAGCAGTGCGAGGCAGCAGATTCACCAGCAGTGGCAGATGCTGGGCTGGTCTTATATCGACTGTAAAGGAACGACACCTTCATTTGCTTCTTTGGAGGCTGGGAAGAAGCTCCAGAACATTTCTTGGATGAGGACTGCGGTCGAATCGTCCCGTTGGCCACAGCTGGAGATCCCCTCCCTTTGCCTTTGTCAGACGGGTGGCTCGTGTCAGTGTAGTTCTTACAGCTGCCTTTTCCTCTACTTTAAAATAATAATAATTAAAACTGAGATATGATCATTGAAACATCACATATTGCTGCTGCTTAGATTTGCAGGTAAAAAAAATAAAAAATCACATAGAACAAAATGGGTGTGTAAAAAACTAACAAGTGTGTGATTCCTTAGTAATAACAGGTGATGCCATCTCACCTGACTCCGTTTGAGATGCTGTGGGTGACGCTGCTATTTTCGCGAGGTACAGAGTTGTGATTGCTACGTGGACTCGGTGTGGAGAACTCGCTCAGAATGTGCTGAGCTTGATGGAAAGCCATCAGACAAACACCAGCTAGAGAGGAACTGCGGAGAGAACAGCTTTGATATGAATGCACAGAAGCACAGGGTGGCGTTTCGTGTGGTTTAAGTATGGATATGGGCTGCTGACCAGGTGAAGACCAGTGTGATGATCCAGAAGGGCTCCTCCCAGCTGGGCCCCGGGACCACCTGAGCACACAGAGGCAGCATGTGGTGAGGAAGAGTCACGTTGAGGGTGAAGTGGAAAAAGGAGCCACGTTCTGTCACCAGAGTCAAGTCTCTGATCACCCACGAAGAGGTGAAGTCTGGAGTGAATCTGGAGAGATGCAGAGAATTAAAAAAAATTCATAGAGGAAAAAAAGATGCTGGGGAATATGGTGTAATGTAGGAATAGACCATGGAGCATTTATGGGACAGTTCACCCAAAAATGAAAATTCTGTCATATTTTGAAGAATGTTGGTAAACAGACAGTTTCGGTTCCCATTGACTTACACAGTGTGGAAAAAACTAGGGATGCACGATATTATCGGACATTATCGAAATCGGCCGATAATGGCTTAAAATGCAAATATCGGCATTCAGGAAAAAGTTCGCTTCAAGAATGAGCACACTGTTGACATGATCTTATCGCTGTCACACCCTGAGAACATGCAAGTTACTCGTCTTATCGGTAAGGCATATCGGCATAATTTTTCATATCGGGCCGATGCCTTACCGATAAGACGAGTAACTTGCATGTTCTCAGGGTGTGACAGCGATAAGATCACGTCAACAGTGTGCTCATTCTTGAAGCGAACTTTTTTGGCAGTGCCACTTGCTCTGATGGCGGCAGGTAGCCTTCAGGCACCGGAACCGTTTTAAAAGTATCGATTTGGCACCGGTATCAAAAAAAAAAAAAAACGATACCCAACCCTAGTATGCACAGTAGAGAAAAGAGCTGAGAGTCAGCAGGCACATGCACTTTCACATTAGCACTCGAGACTCACGCGATGGTGATTTCTGAGGACGAGTTGTAGTCCACTTTGAAAGACCTGCAGTGTTGCACCTCAAAGCCATAACCTTGACATTTATATCCATTAATGCTCATGGACACTACAGTCAGCGGCAGCTCGCCTGCATTCTCCACCTTAAAGCTCTTCTGGATGGAAAACAAGGGCTTACTTGATCGTAAACCTGCGAAAAGACAAGAAAGGGAATGGAAAATGCTGCTGATGCACTTAATGAAATGTATTTCATCGATCTTTGGGTCACACTTTAGTTTGGGGACCAATTCTCACTATTAACGCTGACTTTTGCCTCGATAAACTCCTAATGTGCTGCTTATTAAAAAAGAGAAACCGAAACAAGTATATACGAGATAGACGCAAATATACAAAACGTTTACCATTCTGAATATCAGTTATGTTGAGAACTTTCTTCATTTTAAGCGGCTCGTGTTTTTATGAAAATACTGGCGTATTTCAATGCTCGGGTGAGATTATGTAACATTTGAACAGCCTTCTGTCTGTGCCGTTTTGACTTACTCGTTTTCATCACTTTCACTTTAAAGGGGTCGTGACATGAGAAACCAAATTTCCCTTGATCTTTTGACACAGAAGAGGTCTTCGTATGCTTAATACATCCTGCAAGTTTCATAACTTAAAATGTGACCTTGTATAAGTAGCACAGTTATATTTGTAGCAATAGCCAAAAATACAAGCATGGGTCAAAATGATTGATTTCTCTTTTATGCCAAAAATCATTAGGATATTAGGGAAAGATCATGTTCTATGAAGATATTAAGTAAATCTCCTACCGTAAATATATCAAAACTTAATTTTTGATTAGTAATATGCATTGCTAAGAACTTCATCTGAACAACTTTAAAGATGATTTTCTCAATATTTAGATTTTTTTGCACCCTCAGATTCCAGATTTTCAAATAGTTGTATCTCAGCCAAATATTGTCCGATCCTAACAAACCATACATCAATGGAAAGCTTTATTCAGCTTTCAGATGATATATAAATCTCAATTTCCAAAAATTGACCCTTGTGACTGGTTTTGTGGTCCAGGGTCACATTTAAGTGCGTGTTCAGTTTTCACCGTTGACTGTTTTAAAAACAAATCGCATATGATGCTGGCTTTGCCAGAACACTTTTGCTCAAAGATCAGGCCTGTTCTGGACCCAACAACAACGCCACAAACTGTAAGTAATATATTTCATGTAAAAATAATTTTTAAAACAGTAATGCATAGGCAATGATGTTAGCCAATCATAACAGTGGGCGGTTACACTGAGCTCTTAAAGGGAAAACACCCCAAAACAGACTGTTTCAGTCAAAGGATGAGAAGCAGGGTGGAAAAAAGGACATAAATCCCTCAACTTTGAATGTTTTTTTGTCCAAAAATAATTACACCTCAGGGAACATTATAAAATTAGGGATGCACGATATTATCGGAACGTCATTGAAATCGGCCGATAATGGCTTAAAATGCAGATCTCGGCATCGGCCCGATATGAAAAATTATGCCAATATGCCTTACCGATAAGACGATTTATTCATTAATGCATAATGTTTTTTTTTTCAAATGGATTATGAAAACTCTTTTGCTTTAGACCATCTACAAATGTTAAATATTCAAATAAAATGTTAAGGATTGCTTTATAGTTATTTTCAAAGCTTTCAGTGTACTCTGATTATAAAAGAACTTCATTGTTTATTTAATTCTCAAAAGCAAGTTTTTGTTAAAACCAAACTAACCAAAATGAAAAATAATTTGTTTATAATCTCTGTACAGGAAAGACTTGGTGTTGTTTCCAAACAAAAGAAAATATATCGGTATCGGGCAAAATGAGTTGAAAAATATCGGCATATTGGCAAAATCCAATACAGCGCATCCCTAAATAAAATAATTTTAAAAACATGTCATGACCCCTTTAATTCTCCTGCACGGACTCGTTCGCTAAACTGAACAGCCAATCAGAGTTCTCACTCTCATCGATGGCCCGAACATGCTGAATCTGCCAAACTGATGCTGATGTGAGGAACACAGCAGAAAAACTAGCCCAACGTCAGCTTAACAGAGATGAGCTGTCAGGAGAAGCGGAGCTCACCGTCTCTGCACTCCATGAGGGTCGACTGGGGCACGTTGAAGCGCAGTGAGGCTGCAGGCCCGGGGAGCTTCCCTCCCACTCGCAGGAGCTCCTTTGCTCCGAAGCCTTTAACCAGAACCATGTCAAACACAGTCAGGTTGTTCCTGTCAGAGAACAGAGAGAGCCACAATTACTGTGTGCTAACAACCAGCACAGAAACTCATCGCAACTCCAAGAAAAAAAAAAACACTAGAACACATAAGGCGTGCTCAATCTCTTGCTCAATGTGGTGAATTTGGGGGAAAAATAGATTTGTATGGATTCTGTACAGATGAAATCGTGCAAATTGCTATTGAAATTACTGGATTTTGCCCACAAAATTTCACTGAGTGACCGCACCTTAAGGCACAATGTCATATGTCTAATTGCTAAATGAAAATAAAAAAATAAATCACAATGTTGCACTACATAGTTAATTTAAGGTTCTTACACTTTTGCTCAATAGATGCCCATGACTTGTCCTGTAGTATGTGTGCACTGGATGAGGATCACTCAAAACGCCCTAATAGTCGACTAAACGTTAGTAATCGACAACTACACATTAAGTCAACCAGGCTTAGTCGACTAAAATTTAATTAGTTAGTCAGTCGCAGAAAAAAATCTGTCAGTGTCCGTGACAGGCAGATCGTTAACGGCTGGTCCTTGAGGTAATTACAGTATATCGGGCAGAAAAATAGTTCATCCACCTCAAAAAAGCATAAGTAGTAGCAACTTTACACAGCCGTTTGCTCTAACGTTAGTGTTTGTGTGGAAGCTATTAGCGCATTTACGGCATGCCATGGAGGGTTTCCTGGAAACAACTTAAAATACGCCGCAATTTTTTCTCATTCAGAAAAAGTAGTACATAATTTGAAACTGTAAAGGGTCTACTTTTATTTGTGTGCTCTCACAATATCGACAAGATGTTGTGTTTTTGTAAAATAAAGAAAACAAACATGCATGCTTTCTGTTGCGTCTCGGTCTCTGCCTCACAGACATGAGAAATATATCTATAGAAAGCTTGAAATGAAAGCAAAAACTCTCTGATTATGTAATCTGTATGAAAGGTGCATTAATGTGGAGATCAGCGAGTCAGCAACTTTATCTTCGCAGCTGACACACTGACTGAGAAAACTCTAATTTATTAATAAACAATTAAAATATCTCTTTGCTATTTTTCCGACTCATAGTCATTACTTTTGCGGCAAGCTTTATGCGTGTACTTGAGCGCGGAATAGGCTTTATATTAAAGGCCCCCCAAAGTTTTTGAACAGTAAGATTTTTAATGTTTTTTTTAAAGATGTCTCGATTTATTAAGAAACATTTATTATTATTATTATTATTATTATGTTGAAAACAGCCAAGTAGATTTTTTTCAGGTTTCTTTGATGAATAGAAGATTCAAAAGAACTGCATTTTTCTGAAATAGAAATCTTTTGTAACATTATAAATGTCTTCACCATCACTTTTAATCCATTTAAAGCATCCTTGCTGAATATAAAAGTATTAATTTCTATAATTTATTTCCCAAATAAAAAAAATTATACTGACTCCAAGCTTTTGAATGGTCTACTGTATAATATTACAAAAGCTTTTTATTTCAGATAAATGCTGATCTTTGGATCTTTCTATTCATCAAAGAATCCTGAAAAAAATGTACTCAACTGTTTTAAATATTAATAATAATAATAAATGCTTTTAAGCAGCAAATCAGCATATTATACTGATTTCTGAAGATCATGTGACACTGAAGACTGGAGGAATGATGCTGAAAATACAGCTGCACATCACAGAAATACATTACAGTTTAACAGAGATTCACACAGAAAGCAGTTATTTTAAATAGTAAAAATATTTCACAATATTACAGCTTTTGCTGTATTTCTGATCAAATAAATGCAGGCTTGGTGAGCAGAAGAGACTTTAAACATTAAAACATTAAAAATCTTACTGTTCAAAAACGTTTGACTGGTAGAGTATATTTAAGGACATGCAATTAGTCTACTTCTAAATGGCTTAAATGAACGACTACTAATCTCGACTAGAAACATTTTAAAGTTTGCAGACCAAACTGTATACCATTTTCCAAAATTTCTCCTAGGAATTACATTTTAAGGGTTTTTTATGAGCATGCATTAGCAGTTCTGTCCATAGCAATATAAAAAGCGAAACTTTTTTCCTTAATCCATTCAACACATATATAATGAAATAGCTCAATGTTACATAAATGCCTCATTTGTGCAGAGCAGTACCTGATGAGGAGCAGTGAGGTGACGTGCTTGTGTTCTGTGGGTTGGTACGCCACCGAAACCGTCCTTGACTCCCACGGCCGCAGGACAAATCTCAACACACTGCCTCTCTCACTGTCCTGTTTGCAAAAACACAAGTATACAATAACCAGAGTTATAAACAATGCACACTTAATAGTGCGTAATACAGCTGTTCAAAGCTCATGAGCTCACCTTATGGTTAGCAGCCGACAGAAGAAACTCTGCTGTAGTGATATTCACAGACAGCGGGCTAATATTAAACCTAGAATAGATACATTTATGTTGTGAAGTTATTTTTCATGAACACTGTTGCTATTGTTAACAAAAAAATATCTGATGAAGAAATTTGAAATACCTGGGGAACGAAATGAAACAAAAAACACTAGCTGAAGTACTAAAATTACTGAAACCAAAGTAAAATCTAAGCAGAAAAAAAATAAACAGGAAAAAAAAAACTAATAAAAAATGACAAAAGCACATAAAAACGGAAAATACTCAAATTAAAGCTAATTAAAATGTTAATAAATACTATACTAATAAAAAACACTAAAATAACACATCTTATGACTCTTTAACCTAATGTGAAAATACATGTCCTATTTACATTAGGCATGTAAAAGCTTGTATTTACTGTATTTCATATTGCACTAGATATTAAATTTTTCATAAAGGCATTGTAATTAAGGTTTTTGGCCATATGAGTGTGTGTTTACAGTATGCACCATTTAGTCAGCATGTGAAGGGCTTCGAGGGGAACCGGGTATGAGGAGAGGGTTCGGATTTCCACAGAAACCACCGAACCCGTCGGGTTTTTCAGAGTGAAATTCTTTACCTGGAATTAAATTACAACAATTAGCTGTATAATGCCTACTTAATGATTTGATTAACAGACACACAGTTCACACAATGAGGAAAATGCTGTGTCATGCACTAAATCTTCTTACTAAAGATACTCCTTTTACAGAGTTTTACCGAACAAACATTTGGGTGAAGTTCAATTCAAAAGATCTTTATGAGTGATTTGCATACCTTACTGTCATTGACAGGTGTGGCCCCGAAGTCCAGGGGTGAAGAGTGGTTTGCAGGAAGTCTGGGCCACCTGAAACACACACACACACACACACACACACACACACACACACACACACAGAAACAGATGCATGCATGCTCAATAAAACAGTATGCATATTTGCAGTGCATGCATATATGTTTAAGCAGCATACAAAATGAGTAGCCTATTTGTCTTCACAGGTCTGTCTACATCTCTCAGCATGTTTACCTGCATGAACGCCCTTTGCTGCAAAGCCAACGGCTACAGAGCGCAGAGGCCAGACTGCTGTCTACTCTCCAGAGAGATGAGGAGGATTCTGGGAGAAGGGATTGCTGCCACTCAACGCGTCCTGCACAGAAAAAAAAACATTCAATAGTTTTTACTTACAGCATACTCATAAAAGATACAAAAACTAGTATACCACAATCTATTCAATCCATTTATAGGACAAGTTTACGACTACACTAGATGGCCTCAAGATGACCTAAAAATTATTTAAAATAAGACCAATGTACAATAAAATAAGCTGAAACAACTAATGATTACAATATTTCTTTATAATTAAAAAATGACTTCCTCGCAGGGTTATTATAGAAAACTAAAACCAAATAAATTAAATAAATGTTAAAGAAAATAAAATATAAAAAGCATTAACATATTTCAGCAAGTTGCCAAAGCAACATTTCTCAGTTTTATGCAGCGTAATTATATGCATTAAAATATTAAACCCAAAAAAAAAAAAACTATAAAACTAAAAACTATAACAGAATTTCATTGATACTAAAAAAACACTACTTCCCCGTTTTAAAATTATGATTTCTAGACCTGTATAGGCATTTAAAAAAAAAAAAAAAGACGTAAATACAACAAAATTATGAAATTTAAAAAGAAAATATACACATACTTTTTAAACATATTATTAAAAACTATAACAGAATCTCAATGATACTAGAATAACACGCTTCGTTTCAAAATGAATCAGGCGTTTTGAATGAATCGTTTGAATGAATGATTCAGTGAATCGCTCATTAAGGGACTTGCTGCCACCTACTGGCGGTTTTAGTGTCATATTTATCCATCACAGGCCTAAACCAGCCAAAGAACCAGCACAAAAACACACTCGTAATTATCATTATCTAAAAAAATCCAGATAAATATCAAGATATTATTTTTCGTCAATATCGCACACCCCTAGCGTGAACCGTATCTGTATTTTGAAGCAAGTTCAGTCATGTTGATGCTGATGTATTCAAGCTTTACCTTTGAGGCAGAAGAGTATGTTTGGAGGTGAAGCTCCACTGGAGTCCCCACACTGGTTCTCAGAGTCACTGTGGTTCTGAGGATTGTGGGTAAAGATCTGCTGAGTAGCTGAAGAGACAGAAGCTTCCAGCTCCCAGGCCTCACTTCCAGGGACTTTGTCAAATTTACAATCTATAAAATGGGAACATTTACATCTCAGGAAAGCTGTAAAAACACTACCAATCAAAAGTTCTTGAACAGTAAGATTTTTTATGTTTTTTTTAAAGAAGTCTCTTCTGCTCACCAAGCCTGCATTTATTTGATCAGAAATACAGCAAAAGCAGTAATATTGTGAAATATTTTTACTATTTAAAATAACTGCTTTTTATTTGAATATATTTTACAATATAATTTATTCCTGTGCTCAAAGCTGTATTTTCAGCATCATTACTCCAGTCTTCAGTGTCACATGATCTTCAGAAATCGGTATAATATTCTGATTTGCTGCTCAAGAAACATTTATTATTATTATTAATATTTAAAACAGATGAGTGCGTTTTTTCAGGATTCTTTGATGAATAGAAAGATCCAAAGATCAGCATTTATCTGAAAGCTTTAAGCTTTTGTAACATTATACACTCCACCATTCAAAAGCTTGGAGTCAGTATCTTCTTTGGGGGGGAAAGAAATTATAGAAATTAATACTTTTATTTAGCAAGGATGCTTTAAATTGATCAAAAGTGATGATAAAGACATTTATAATGTTTCAAAAGACTTCTATTTCAGATAAATGCTGTTCTTCAGAACTTTCTATTCATCAAAGAAACCTGAAAAATAACAATAATAATAATAATAATAAATGTTTGTTGAGTAGCAAATCATTATTAGACTGATTTCTGCTCTAAAGACGAGTGTTCACAGCACATCCAGCTGCCATTACCTTAAACACTCTGTGCTGGGACAGTGAGATGTGAGTGATCCTGAAGGTGACGAGGAAGGGGTTAAACAGCCAGAGCTCGACCTGCTCTGAGCCCCTCGGCTTCTGACGGACCTGAACTAAAGAACTCAGCTCAGAGTTGGGCCATCTGAAACACACAGAGAGGAACCACTGTAAAAACAAGGCTAAACATTGAGGAGAACACAGCATTTACTGGGTTACTTTATATACGTGACCCTGGAGCACAAAAGCAGTCATAAGGGTCCATTTTTCGAAATTGAGATGTATACATCATCTGAAGGCTGAATAAATAAGCTTGTTATGATAGAACAATATTTGGTTGAGATACAACTATTTGAAAATCTGGAATCTGAGGGTGCAAAAAAATCTAAATATTGAGAAAATCATCTTTAAAGTTGTCCAAATGAAGTTCTTAGCAATGCATATTACTAATCAAACATTACGTTTTGATATATTTACGGTAGAAAATTTACTAAATATCTTCATGGAACATGATCTTTACGTAATATCCTAATGATTTTTGGCATAAAAGAGAAATGTATAATTGTGACCCATACAATGTATTGTTGGCTATTGCTACAAATATCCCCCAGCGACTTAACACTGCTTTTGTGCTGCAGGGACACATATTTGATATCCTAATTATAAAGAGGTGAAGGAAGGACACTACATTCACATGCATACGTTTGGGATCTTTTAATGTTTTAGAAAGTAGCCTCTCATTAAGCATAAGAGATACTTTTAACATTTAAGCATAAGCTTAATTATTATCTTATCAAGCATACGGTTACTTTCAGAAACATTTAAAAATGCAAGGCTGCATTTACTTGATAAAAAATACAGTAAAAGCAGTAATATTGTGAAAAATGTTCACAATTTAAAAGAACTGTTTTATTTTTTTATATATTTTAAAATGTGATGTCCAGCGGCCATATAAGTAATAAGTTAATGGGTGTTTAATAGAAACTTTGCACAACGATTCTCAACTATGGCATGAAAGAGCCTCTACGGCTGGGTCTCAGGAGAATGTATAATTGTGACCCATACAATGTATTGTTGGCTATTGCTACAAATATCCCCCAGCGACTTGAAAAACTGACTCATATCATTAGACTCGAGACATTAACACCTCAAAGAGTGCATGGATTTTCAGTGGCAAGTTACTACATACAGTTACTTTAAAAAATAGAGTGCAAACTACAATGCATATGTTAATTCCAGTAATGAAACAGCCATAAGTAAATGCATTAAATTCAGATGTTTAATAACATGTACGCTAACATTAAATCTTTAAATGCTTGAGAGTGGGTCATTTTTTGTCTGTTTGAAAGAAGTCTCTTATGCGCACCAAGGTTGCATTTTTTTTAACTGTATTAAAATACAGTAATATTGTAATAAAAATGGTTTTCTAATATATTTTAACTTTATGCAATCCTATGATGGGAAAGCTCATGATCTTCAGAAATCATTCTAATATGCTGATAAACATTTATTATTATTATCAGTGTTGAAAAAAGTTGTGCTGCACAATATTTTTGTGGAAACTGTGATAGATTTAATTTTTCAGGATTCACAGATGAATAGAAAGTTCAAAAGAACAGCATTTATTTGAAATATAAATATTGTGCAACACTATAACTTTCTTGAATGTCACGTTTGATCAATTTACTGCATCCTTGCTGCATAAAAGTGCAATCAGATTTAATCACTCCAGATCTGAAAGATTCAGGTTTAAAGAACGGATTCGAAAAACAAATCTGAATCGGATGCGGTGTAAACAAAGCCTTGTAGGCCTCAACTGTTGTTTGTTTACAATGAATCTGTTGCATTAAATAACTAATTATATACATACTATAGTTATGTAAAGCATGATATGTTTGTGCTTTCTCTTAAAAAGAAAAAGAATAAAAATCTAATAATGCTGTGGTTCTATGGCTGTTTATGTTGCAATATTTTTACACCACAAGGACGCATTTTTATAATCTCGCCAAGGGCCCCACGAACCCACGAGTGCGATCCAGAAGTCCAAACAAAAAGTGTTAAAACACAATCATGCTGAAAAACACGATGGACACACAACAAATTGCCCAGTTTGTGTGTGTGTGTGTGTGTGTGTGTG